TAGCAATACAGGCCTACCTAAAACAGATAGAAACATTTCAAATAAATGACCTAACCCTACATCTTCAAGAACTGGAGAAACAACAACAAACAAAGCCCAGAATGAGTAGAAGGAAGGAAATAATCAAGATCAGAGCAGATCTGAATGATAGAGAGATAAAAAGAACAATTCAAAGGATCAGCAAATCCAGAAGCTGGTTCTCTGAAAAGATAAACAAAATCAACAAGCCTTTAAGCAGGTTCATCAAGTAAAAAAGGGAGAGGAACCAAATAAATAATATCAGAAATGAAAGAGGAGAAATAACAACTGATACCACAGAAATACAAAGGATTGTAAGAAACTACTATGAACAATTATATGCCAAGAAATTTGAAAACCTCGATGAAATGGACAAATTTCTAGAAAAATACAGTCTTCAACACTGAAGGAAGAAGAAGTAGAAAGCCTGAACAGACCAGTAACAGCTGGGGAAATTGAAGCAGTAATCAAGAAACTCCAGGCACACAAAAGCCTAGGGCCAGACGGTTTCACAGGAGAATTTTACAAAACATTTAAGGAAGAGCTAACCCCTGTCCTTCTCAGACTATTCCAAAAAATCCCAAACTCCTTTTATGAGGCCAGCATCACCCTAATCCCAAAACCAGATGAAGACACTACAAAGAAAGAAAACTACAGGCCAATATTGCTGATGAATACAGACACTAAAATCCTTAACAAAATATTGGCAAACCGCATCCAGCAATATATTAAAAAGATCATCCACCATGATCAAGTGGGATTCATCCCAGAAATGCAAGGATGGTTCAATATACGCAAATCAATAAATGTAATACATCATATAAACAAAAGGAAAGACAAAAACAACATGATCATCTCGATAGATGTAGAAAAAGCATTCGATAAGGTACAGCACCCATTTATGATAAAAACATTCAGCAAAATGAGAATAAAGGGGGCATACCTCAACGTAATAAAGGCTATATATGAAAAACCTACAGCCAACATCATACTCAATGGGCAAAAACTAAAAGCTTTCCCACTAAGATCGGGAACAAGACAAGGATGTCCACTTTCACCACTTCTATTCAACATCGTATTGGAAGTCCTAGACACAGCCTGCACACAAGAAAAAGAAATAAAAGGCATCCAAATTGGAAAGGATGAAGTAAAACTATCATTGTTTGCAGATGACATGATAGTGTACACAGAAAACCCTGTAGACTCCACCAAAAAACTACTCAACCTAATACGTGAATTTGGTAAAACAGCAGGATACAAAGTCAATATTCAGAAATTGAAGGCATTTTTGTACACCAGCAATGAAGTAGAAGAAGAAATCAGGGGAAAAAAATACCATTCAATATAGCAAGAAGAAAAATAAAGTACCTAGGAATAAATAAATAAAGTACCTAGAAATAAAAGGCTTGTTGATTTTGTTTATCTTTTCAGAGAACCAGCTTCTGGATTTGTTGATCCTTTGAATTGTTCTTTTCATCTCTATCATTCAGTTCTTCTTTGATTTTGATTATTTCCTTCCTTCTACTCATTCTGGGCTTTGTTTGTTGTTGTTATTTATTCATTATTTATTTAATTCTGTATTTATTAAAATAAATTTAATCAATATAGCAAGAAGAAAAATAAAGTACCTAGGAATAAAATTAACCAAGGAGGTAAAAGACCTGTACACAGAAAACTATACAACACTGAAGAAAGAAATTAAGGAAGACACAAATAAATCAAGCATATACTGTGTTCATGAATTGAAAGAATTAATATCATCAAAATGTCCATATACCCAAAGCAATTTACAGATTCAATGCAATCCCTATTAAAATACCAATGAAATACAAAGTACGTATTTCACAGACATTGTACAGACATTTCAAAAATTTATATGAAACCATAAACGACTCTGAATAGCCGCAGCAATTTTGAGAAAGAAAAACAAAGTAGGAGGGATCACAATAGTGGACATCAAACCATATTACAAGGCCACTGTAATCAAAACAATCTGGTACTGGCACAAGAACAGACACATAGATCAGTGGAACAGAACAGAAAGCCTAGAAATAAGCCCAGGTCTCTATGGGCAACTAATATTTGACAAAGAGGGCAGAAGCATAAACTGGAGTAAAAATAGCATCTTCAACAAATGGTGTTGGGAGAGTTGGAGAGCAAAAAATTGAAATTGGATCATCAGCTGACACCATACACAAAAATAAACTCAAGATGGATAAAAGACTTAAACATTAAGTCACAACACCATAAAAGTCCTAGAAAAGAACATTGGCAGGAAACTCTCAGATATCCCACACAGCAGTATTCTCACTGATATGTCTCCTAAAGCAAGGGACATAAAGGAAAGAATAAACAAGTGGGACTTCATCAAAATAAGAAGCTTCTGCATGGCTAAAGAAAACATCAGCAAAATGAAAAGGGAACCAACCATATGGGAAAATATATTTGCCAATGGTACAGGAGACAGAGGTTTGATCTCCAAAATATACGAAGACTCACACAACTCCACTCCAAGAAGACAAACAATCCAATTAAAAAATGGGCAAAGGACCTGGGCAGACACTTCTCCAAGGAAGAGATACAGAGGGCCCAGAGACATATGAAAGGATGCTCAGCATCACTAGCCATCAGAGAAATGCAAATTAAAACAACAAGATACCACTTCACACCGGTCAGAATGGCCATCATAAACAGATTAAAAAACAACAGGTGATGGTGAGGCTGTGGAGAAAAGGGAACCCTAGTAGACTGTTGGTGGGAATGCAGACTGGTGCAGCCACTGTGGAAAACAGTTTGGAATTTCCTTATAAAGCTAAAAATGGAACTGCTTTTTGACCCAGTGATTCCATTGCTGGGATTATACCCTAAGAGTCCCAAAACATCAATTCAAAAGAACCCCAATGTTCATAGCAACACAATTTACAATAGCCAAGTGCTGGAAGCAACCTAAGTGCCCATCAGTAAATGAGTGGATCAAAAACCTATGGTACAATTTATACAATGGCATACTATGCAGCAGAAAGGAAGGGATACTACCCTAAGCAACAGCATGGATGGAACTGGAGAACATTATGCTAAGAAAAATAAGCCAGGGGGTGAAGGACAAATACCATATGATCTCACCTAGAAGTGGAACCTAATCAACAAAACAGACAAGCAAGAAAAATATACCCAGCAACACTGAAAGGAAAAACAAACCAACAGTAACGAAAGGGAAGGAGGGAGGGGTATAACGGGGAAAAGAAGAAGGATCAAATCAAGGTACATGTATAAAGGACCCATGGCCAAAGGCAAAGTGGAGAAGGATTGAGAGTGGAAGATGGGAGTGGAAAAAGGAAAAATAAATAAAAATAGAAATAAAAATAAATAAAATAAACAGAAAAAAATTAGGTGGAGGGTCTAATTTAACCCAAGGCCCTTAGTTTGCCAATTCCTCCAAGACACTCCATTGTATTCCCTCCTAGAGAACCTCCATTAGCTTTTCATTAACATCACTAATTTTTTCTCTCCCACTGTTTAAAAAATTATGACCTTAATCTTCCTGGGCAATTTTAATGCTTTTCTTATTAGGCTCAATTATTTGAAACAAGTTACTCTTGAGAGAACATGTACAGTATTTTACATAATCTAAACATAGTATAAATTACATAAGAAATTATTCTATAAATAAGATAAAACATTCCTAAAACTTAGTACTAGCATGCCCAAAATACCAACTGTAAAAATGTCGAACACTGACCTTTGGAAGTCTACATATTGAACTTTTTTCGGTTACTAGTATCTATTTTTAACTATATTTGATAAGCACTAATCACAGCCCAGAAACAATAGCAAATATCCTCTTTAATTATACAAAATGATCATGTGTATAATAAATACATAGAACTTAAAGACCCCTCATTCTCTTCCTTATTCCAAAGTTTAATTATATGTGCATCACTGAACTTGTTTTTAATATAAAACATTTAAATAATATAAATAAGAAAGAAAAATTCCCCTTTTCCACCAGGATTTCTTTCTTCTTTCCTTCTCTCCTCCCCTTGTTTTCTCACATGCACATCTGCACACCTGTGCATTCTTTCTCTGTCTCTCGCTGTCTGTTTCTCTCTGACTGACACACACACACAGAGTATTTTAAAAACAATCAAAGTCCAAATAACATACAATATCAGGCTCATAAAAACAGCTCTACACATAAAACACAAGGTAAGATTCAGAAAACACAAGATCAAGTTCAGATCCCAACTCTTCAACTAAAACCAGCTGAATAATCACTTCTTAGTTTTGTGCCTTCAGTACCTACTTATTTAAAGTCTGTTAGCCTGTTTCCTCATCTATAAAAATGGGGAAAAAATTGTACCCACCTCAAGTAGTTGCTACAAGCATTAGAGAATTAAAATGACATGCTCACAGCATAGTTTTGATATACACTCAAGGACTTAAAATTCCTAGTTGCGCCTATTTGGGCAGGTATTACTAACATCTGTTATAGTTCCTCTACAAAATAGTAAAAGTACTGCATTGCCTCAAATGGTATATATAACAACTTTTTGATTGTTACTGTTAAATGTTGGGCAGGGAGGTCCTTTTACTCATTAATTTAAAGTTCCTCTGAGAAACTTCAAAGTATTAAGTCTATTTTTATTCCTGAAAAGAAATGTTAACATTTTTCACTTTGTTTTTCATTATTGTAGACATTTTAAATCAAAATATACATATCAAAAGATCTATTATGTTGCCTTTTAAAGAAAGTTATTCAACATTAATAAATAATCATAAATGAATATGGTGAAAACGGAATGTCTCATTAGGGTCTACTTTCTCAATCCCATATTCTAAAATATGTTAATTTGGGGAGTTATTTTTGTTGCTTTTGTTTTCAATCTTCTGCACTTAAGGAAACACATGTTGATAACTGTATGCTATAGCATAGTAGATATAGACATTTCTCCTCTAACATAGTAGATACAGACATTTCTTACCAAGTTACGTTTTTTTAGTGGAAGAAAGTAGTAATAGTGGCAGAAAGAAAACATCAACGCGTAGCAAGTAAGAAGTTCAGTGTAGAAACACAACTGCAGAAAGAGCCAATGATTATCTTCACCAACACAATTGTTAATCCTAAAGAAAAAATAAAAAACAAAATTTTAAACTTTTATAAGATGTTAATTTCAGAATTGGTAAACTAAACATAAACATAAAGAACTTCTTATATGCTTAAGTACATGGACTTAGGCTGAAGTCACTCAAACCTAAAAGCAAACAATGCATAAGAAAAGATCTCTATTGATACTTTACAAAGGAAGTTGATGATCCCCCTTCAACTCTCAACCACCCAGTGAGGCAGGAAGAGCAGATGGTCTCCTTGTTCCACTAATGTGGAAACAGGAACAAAGGAGTTAAACCTAGCAGAGATGTAGGAAGTTAAGACACTTGCAGAGTATGTACAATTAGTTCATGGCCAAGAGAACTAGAACACTCTTCCATACATTGCTCTTCTAGCTTTGAGGGCAATCTGAATGACAGTAAAATAACAAACTTGCCACTCTGGCACAACTGTTAAGCATGCACAATTTTTCTTACTTTAAAAACTATCATTGGCTGCTAAAAATAAACATATCCACAACTATTTCCAAATTCTTAGTGTTACACTTCCAGCAATACAACAGTGAATCATAATTAGGAAAAATGATTAATGCTATAATCCCAAAATTTTCAAAGCTAATGCAAGTTGAATGTTTTAATGTTCCAAAATTTACTCTACCCAAATTTTCAAAAAATTTTACAATTCCAGTAGAAAACCCCAGTTCAAAACTGTTAAGTTACCCTGAAAAAATGTTTTTATTTCGATATAGTATTACATTGCCACTGTTTGGAAAAAAAATTCTATAATAGGCTCAATATCTAACTTAAATTATTTTTTTAAATCAGATATAGAACTGAACAGAAAACCTTGCAGAGGAATTTCTTAGACTTAAGAGCTCATGCTCTACTAACAAGAAAAGTTCCTGTTTTGTTATTCACAAGCAGGGCTATGAGGAAAGTGTGTTTATGAATGTGCTCAAAAATACTCTTCAACAGATACTGCTTGAAAGATGACTTATCCTCATCCTATCCTTTTTGATCCCCTAAACTGGAAAAATAACTGCTATGGTCATGGTAGTCTTCTTAATCAGAGAGCTTTAAGAATCACTAAGGTACCCAATATATATGTTAGCATTCTTTTGGTAACAAACCACATAGAAAGAGTGATCATAGCCAGAATAAAGAAAATCTTAGGCTGATCTGAGAACTGATCTCCAAATCTAAAGCTGTTAGGCAGTTACAACAATGCAGTTTCTGAAAATAACAAAATATTTCCTTGTTTCCAATTTACACTGTACAATTTCCTTCATTCTGAATATCTCAACAGTGCTCTATTAGGGAATTCAGTCATGAAAATCCCTAAATCTATTTAGGCCCCAGTTCTACCCTCCTTTCCTATCCTCCAATTCTTTCTGCTTCTACTCTTCTTCCCCCCAATATTCTGAGAAACTGACTAAATTGTAAGCAAGAGGCTTAGAAACAGGGAACTCATCCCAATCTTAGAGCATAGGCTAAATGGAACTTTATTTTGTCACTGAGTTAATCTTTATTCCCTAAAAGCAAGTAAATAATATCACTAAGCTCTATAGTACCAAAACTTTCCTAATTCATTGGTTATGCTTTAAGCTTAACCTATTGCATTCTTTTAAAAGGAAGTATCACTATCCAGCTGTATATGAACATTTATTATATTTTTAGTTAATCAGAGCATTGCTCTAAAAAGTGTATAAAATTGAGTTTTTCAGTGTGACTGCCACTTAGTTTACCAGCTCTTGTTAATTACTATTGTAACTGTAAACAGATCCCTGAGGTGTAGAAAACACTTGAGAATTAATCTGTTTAAATTTAAGGCACATTTTTAAAGACCAATTATGTGTTATACACTGTACAATCCTATTGATGAAATATATATAGTAACAGTGCTTTTATCTAAAATGCTTTTATTTTTTCCCAATCTCAGAAAACTACCCCCTATTTAAGTAATCAGTTTACAGTAAAACCCAAATTTCCACTGAAATCTTGCTAATATAACTTGTGCTATCAAAGTAAGTTATCAAAAAATAAGGGAAACTCTAAATTGATTAGCATTATTAGGCGAAGCTAAACTCTTCATTAGAATCAACTTTAGATAAATGCAGTTATAAATTTAACAAGCCCATTATAAAGTTAATTTTATATGCATGTATACATGTACAAACATAAATATAGATGTATATAGATATATTTATAAAGTGCTACACTATATCATTTAAAATATTTATACAGAGATCCCATTTTAGAAATACAATACCTTGTTCAGATTTTTGTGACAGCTTTGATATGAGATACAATGCAGAATTCTCATAGCATTTGTTTGAAAAATTCTATTTCTGAACTAAAGATTTTCTTTAACTATTACAAGAGAGCCCCCTATTGGCCAAAAATGTTGGGAGTTCAGCAAAATCAGCTAATTACCACTTACACATACCCAATATGTATGTAATGTTAACACCTAAAATAGATTATACTGAAAAAGGCTTACAGGAGAAATGAGGTATCAAGATACCTGAAATGTGTTAAATAAATGGGAAAGGAAATACAAACCATGAAATGTATATGGTTCACTACAGTGATAAACAGGAAGAGCTACTATTCAAGTACTTTCTAAGTCTTAGACACTGTACAAAATGCTTTACATACATTGTCTCATTTAATATAATTACCTTAGTTCTTTTGCATATTTGTGATGCACGTTAATTCTTAGCTTTCTTCTCAAATATCTCCTTGTTAGAAAAGATAGAACCTCTCTGAAAAAATGACTTTGGGAGCTCACAGAACCATATCAAAAAGGTATGCTTATTAAAAGATGCTTTTAAACTACCTCACCTTAATAGAACTGTTGTTTAAATCTGCTAGGTACTAGGATTTATATTTTATTTTATTTTTTAATCCTCACCCAAAGATATGTTTACTGATTTTTAGAGAGAGAGGAAGGAAGGGGAGAGAGTGGGAGAAACATCAATGTGAGAGAGAAATATTAATCAGTTGCCTCCCAAACACGCCCAACTGGGGATTGAACCCACAACCTAGGTATGTGCTCTGACAGGCAATCAACCCGCAGCCTTTCAGTGTATGGGATGCTGCCCCAACCAACTGAGACATCTGGCCAGGGCATGTTTTATTTTTAACTAGTTTTTTTCTAAAAGTAAATTATTCATTTCTTACCATGGACAGTGATGATCCATTCTCCTAACACAGTGGCCACAGCGGCTGCAGTGATGGGAACGCTTTGGTCTCATCAAGTTACACTTGTTACATAATTCCCAGAACTCTCTTTCTGGAGAAAGAAATTAAAATCCATTTAATGAAGGCAAATTAGTAATGTTGAAATTTAGCAACAACTGTTTAGAAGATTTTGTAGAAAGCCTTCAATATATATGTCTAAGAAATTTTTCTTCTAGTCTCCAGTATAAATGAGTTTCCCATAAATGTTGCTGCTCTATTCTAGGTATGTCTGATTTTCTATGTTTAAATTGTTAAAACACTATAAAAATAAGATGCTACTAATAGTCAAACTAAGGGATAGAAAGCAATGTATTTGGGCTTTGGACATATTGCTCTAACTAGAATTTAATGATAAAACCCTAAAGTAAAACCAAATTATTATATTAAAATTGAACTTTAACAAATTAATTTATAGAAATTTTGTTATCAAAGGCTCTGACAAAGGAATACTGCTGAGTCCTGGTTTCAAAATCAAAATCAATCCAATAACCTCAATAAGGAAACATTGCATTCCTAACCCCAAACTTTTTTTTTTTTAATTATTGGGTTTATTGGAAAATGTTTATTGGAGATATTTGGAAAAGAATTTTAGATGGGTTGAAGAGGTATTAGGATAGTTTCAGAAGTTAAAAGTTATAAAAAAAATTACTACTGATGGAAGTAAAAAAAGTTCTTTACAAAACTCTGTCCTACCACTAAGAACAATTTCCTCTAGCCCATAGTGGAAAAGCATACAAATAAGTTTTGTGCTGAAAACATTAGTTTTACAGAAATAAAGAGAAAAGTCATGTTTTCATTGCAAATAATTCTAGTCAGATCTGTAAAAATTATATGGGAAAGCAATCTACCAAGGCAACTGCTTTATTACACAGAATGTATCTTTTTAATATTTGTTAAAATTTCATTTTACAAAATTCTTAAACTTTCCACCACTTATGTTTAAACTATATCCTAACATCATTAAAAGTTTGGGCGTAGGAAAATTAACCTCACTCCACATTGAGCAAACATTAGTATATGCAAAGTATGGCACTCACACATAGTACTAGGTCACTAAATGCTTGCTAAAGTATAAAAAGCTTAATTTTTTTAAATAAAATATTCTAAACATAAGTAAAAGAAAAAAATAGGTAGTGTTCAATTTTCTAAAATGAAACATTATTTCAACTCAATCATTTTAATTTAATGGTTAGGAGTAAAGTTAATATATTAGAATTTTGTATAATAGTGTTGGAATCATATTCTGCTATTGATGTCTCTGAAGAAGTCAATAAAGTATAAATAATACCTGTATCAAGTTGTTTATTCTAATAATATGAAAGTTGAGAAATTAACTTTTACATATAAAATCTCATTTTAAATACTTTCATTTATTTTTATTTTTGTTATCATTTACTCCCCTTTACTCCCCTTTGCCCCCCGCCCCCATATCACATCTTCTTGTTCTATTACTTTTTTAAAAATATATTTTATTGATTATGCTATTATATAGTTGTCCTAATTCTTTTACCCCTTCCCTCCTTCCACCCAATACCCCATTCCCTCCAGCAATTCCACCCCCTTAGCTCATGTCCATGAGTCATGTATATAAATTCTTTGGCTATTCCATTACCCGTACTGTTCTTAACACCCCCATGTCTGTTTTGCACCTACCAATTTGTACTTCTTAATCCCTGCACAATTCCTCCCAGTCCACCCTTCCCCTCCCAACTGATATCCCTCCAAAGGATCTCCATATCTATGATTCCGTTCCTGTTCAGCTTGTTCGCTTAAATTTGTTATTTAGATTCAATTATTAGTTTTGAATTTATTGCCATTTTAATGTTCATTATTTTGATCCTCCTTTGCTCATATTATTTCCTGTAGCATTTCATATAATAATGGTTTGGTGATGAGAAGTCCTTTAGTTTTACCTTGTATGGGAAGCACTTTATCTGCCCTGTGAGTCTAAGTGATAGCTTTGCTGGATAGAGTAATCTAGGTTGTAGGTCCTTGCTTTTTGTCAATTTGAATACTTCTTGCCAGTCCCTGCTAGCCTGCAAAGTTCCTTTTGAAAAATCAGCTGACAGTCTTATGGGAATTCCTTTGTAGGTAATTGCTTGTTCTTTTCTTGCTGCTTTTAAAATTCTGTCTTTATCTTTAAACTTCGTCATTTTAATTCTGTTGTGTCTTGGTGTGATCCTCTTTGGGTCCAATTTTTTTGGTCTCTGCCTCCTGGAATATATGTCTATTTTTTTCACCAAGTTATAGAAATTTTCTTTCATTATTTTTTCAAATAAGTTTTCAATTTCTTGCTCTTACTCTTCTCCTTCTGGCACCCCTATGATTTGGATGTTGGTACATTTAAAGATGTTCCAAAGGTTCCTAAGCCTATCCTCATTTTTTTAAATTCTTTTTTCTTCCTGCTGTTCTGATTGAATGCTTTTCCCTTCCTTCCATTCCAAATCTTTGATTTGATTCTTGGCTTCATTCTCTCCACTGTTGGTTTCCTGTAGATTTTCTTTATTTCAGTTAATGCAGCCTTAATTTCTGCCTGGATCTTTTTTATGCCACTGAAGTACCCAGTGAGCTCCTGGACCATCCTCATAACCAGTGTTTGGAACTGTGCATCTGATAGGTTGCTTTTCTCCATTTCATTTAGTTCTTTTTTTGGAATTTTGTTCTGTCTTTTCATTTGGGCCATATTTGTCTCCTCAATTTGGCAGCATCCCTGTGTTTGTTTCTGTGTATTAGGTAGAGCTGCTCTGACTCCCTATCTCTGTAGCATGGCATATTGTAGAAAGACGCACCTGTTACACTGTATGGGGCGGAGGGATAGGTAATCACCAAAACAGGGCAACCCGGATCACCACTCTGTTGCTCTGTGTCAGGGAGGGCTTGCAGAGGGGACAATGCTGCTGCCTGGCCTCTGGAGTTTTGCCTCAGGGGAAGCTCTCTCCTGGGACTCACACTTCACTTTCTCCCCATATGTCACTGGTACCCTTCCAGCTGTTGCCCTGGTGCTGAATCCCGGGGGCGGGGGACGGTCTGCATGAGTCCTTTGTCTGCTGCAGGCCCTTTAAGAAGAGTCTCTTGAAAATCCTGCAGTTTTTTCTACCACCCCAATCCCCAACGGTTTTTACAGCCAGAAGTTATAGGGGCTTATCTTCCTGGCACTGGAACCCTGGGCAGGGTGGTCTAGACTGGGGCCGGGATCCAAGGAATCCCTCCTGTTTTTTATCTACCACACGTGGATGCGGGACCACTCATTCCCATCTCCATGCCTCTCCATGCCTCCACCCCTCTCACACGTCTGGATGAATGTGGCTTCTTTAGATCCTTGCTTGCTGGACTTCCACACAACTTGATTTTCTGACAACTCTGAGTGATATTTGTTTCATAGTCTAGTTATATTTTTGCTATAGTTGTACACAGAAGTGAGGCATGTTTACCTACACCTCCATCTTGACCGTAAGTCCTAAAATACTTTCATTTCTTTCTTATAGTTCTTCTTTTAGAGAAAACATATCATGTGAGAGAGCAATATTATTAAAGCTTATTTTAGATAGTTAAATTAGTATTATTTATTTTTAGAGAGAGGGGAAGGGAGGGATTGAGGGAGAGAAACATTGACGTTGGGAACCTAGCCTGCTCCCCAAGAATGTTTCCTGACTGGGAATCAAACTGGCAACATTTTGCTTTGCAGGACAACACCCAATCCACTGAACCACACCAGTCAGAGCTAAACTAGTATTTATTAACTGTAAGTGAAATATGTAGAAAAATACAATGTCATAAGCACATCACTTTTTTCCCACTTAACTAGAAAACCTCAAACATCCTAATGTTAAAACTGAATTCACATACTGCAAGAAATACAGTCAAAAAGGAGATTCTTCTCAGTGAGCCAATTTTCATTAAAAGACAACATAAAAACTTTACAGTTTTAAACCAGTCCCTCAAACATAAATATGGTGTATTCATTATTAGCAATTTTAGTGTATAATGTTATAGAGACTAAAATTCTTTATTTCATACTTAACATGTTATATTCCCAGAAAAGAAGAGAGCAGGTGGCTAAGGTCAGAAAAAGTCTGTAATTCTCAGGCTGGCAAACTACAGTCCACAGGCAAATATCCAAACCACCATCTATTTTTGTGTGACCCATGACCTAAGAATAGTTCTGACAATTTTAAATGACTGATAATAATAATTACTCATGGCATGGAAACATCATGAAAATCAAATTTCAATGTCCATAAATAAAGTTTTATTTGAACACAGATATATGCACATTCATTTACATACTGTCTATGGTTGCTTTTGCCTAGAATGGCAGAGCTGCAGAACTGTTGAGACTGTATGGTCCATAAAGCTGAAAATATTTTATTATCTGGCCCTTTGAGATAGGGTTTGCTGCTCTACGGTGTGGACCATAAATTTACTTTTAAAAAGAGCTTGATCTACTCCTCTGGCTAAATTTAAGATGCTATAAAGTACATAAAATGAGAAATACTTATTATGAAAGCTCATTTCTATACACATACATAAGCACACGCACATATACTTCTATGTTGTAAAAAATCACTACTGTAAAAATTTAGAAATTTAAAGTATCATCTATATTCTTGCTTGAATAGCAAGGAAAAAATCCACCCATCTTAACCTATTCCACGTATCTATAAACTATTTCTTAGTCTTCTCCCTTTAATTCTATCTTCAGGGTTTACTCATGTCCAAACAGGACCCTGGTGACTGATACAATCTACTATCTGATAACCACCTACAAGACTTTTGTACTAACTATCTAATAATTATTTTATAAAATAAATGCTTTTTTTTTCCAATTGCTAATTTATGGTAAATAAATCCAATTGCTAATTTATGGTAGCTATAAAAAATTAAAAACTCACAGAATTATTTTTAAAGGAAGAAAAATCAAAACATGAAATTAAGCAAAGAATAAAAGGCAAACTCCATAAATAATTGAGACTGTTTAATATAAATAATAGCATCACACTGTTTAACATGGATCCTTATTAATGTTGTAAATGCATGAGTGAACTTATAAATCAAGTTTCTTTGTTTATGCCTCAGAAAAGAAGGAATCACATTCCATTTGAGTCTCTTTAAAGACTTGCATATTTGGGGTCCTTTCTCATTACCACATTTAAAATCGCAAAGTAATGTTTTAGGGAAAAATATAACTTGAAACTACCAAAACCAATACAAAGTTTAGCTCTTAATAGAGGTTGTCTGACAGAACTGGTTGTCAATGTAGGAAATAAATGTCAGTAAATCTCCCACAGATCCTTTAAAAAACAGTATGAGAGAGAGATAAAAGGCAAAACTGAGTGAATACATGACCACCAGCATTAATAGTGCATGCATCCCTACAGCTTGGGTTAAATTTCAAGGGAAAGCAACAAATTTAAAACATGATATTTTTCTTAAAACTTAAAAAAGATTTGGCGTGTAACAGTGTGTCAAAAAGTAGTTCTAGTGATGACAAAAAAACACTGAAGTCAAAATTAAGAAAGAGCTTGATGATAAAAATGTTCTCAGACTGTGGTGATGGTTGTACAACTCTATGAATATACTAAAAGCCACTAAAACATACAATTTAAATGGGTAAATTATATGGCAGCTGAAGTATAATCAATAAAGCTGTTTAAAATATTTAAGAGATTGAATAAAATCATTTCATAAAATTTGAAAGTGACAAAGGTAATATTTCTATTTTTCAGACGTGTGAATAATTTGAATTATAGACATTTAATGATTTCATTTGACTATTTCTTCTACATGCCCAAAAGTTTATAAAATCAAATTCTGGGGACTTTTGCATGGGAAAATGGAAAATTCTCTTATATTCAAATTCCCTCATATATGGTGAGTCATATATTTATTCTGTTTTTAAAAAAGGCATCATAAAACATTGTAGAGTAATTAAATACAAAAATTAGTTAAAATCATAAAATTACTAGGGTTTCATTTTCTTTTTCTAAACAATTAAATTATATCAAACTGCTCAACTTTAAAACAGTGCTGAATAAATGTCACTACTCTATAGCCCCAACTTTTTGATCATGCTATATTATTTTTCACTGTGAAATTTCTGTATTTACTAGTTAAAACTATATTTACAAAATAATCAGGTAACAGCACTAAAAACTCTTGATGACTTCTACCTTTCCTCACAAATAAATCAAAGGTGAATAAAGAGCTAAAATTATTAACCTGTTTATACAGCTATGGTAAAAGCTGGTGAAGACAAGGATCTGGGCCTCAAATCAGTTCTATAATAACCTGCTATGACCTATAATGGTTAATCTATGCTCCTGATTACACTGGAGAATCACAAGATATGAGATACCAAGAGACTTAGAAAACACTGGAATATGATAAATTGATATATTTTTTCAAATGGGCAAAAGGGAAGCCTTCTGAACTCAGTGAAGAAAAACAGGCCAAACGTCAACTGGAACCAAATACAATACAGACATTCAAATAGTCAGCAAGATGGTGTCCTCCAATGCTACACCCTATAAGCTAACGGTAACACAATGGTTCCATGTAAACTCAGGCCCACAAATATAATGTGTTTGGTATTCACTTAAAAACTAAGTTTTAAAATTTTGAATTGCCACTTTTTTTTAAATTGAAATTTCTCATGAAAATTGAGATTCCCTATTTTGACTTAAAAAATGTATAAAGGACCCATGGACAAAGCCGAAGTGGGAAAGCCAAAATTGTATAAAGGACCCATCACCACAGTCTGAGAACACAGAGGGAGGGAGGGAGGGAGGTAGGGGGAAGTGGTGGCAGGAAGGTGGAGACAAATGTATTTGAACAATAAAAAAACACAATAATGAAAATTGTAAGACTTAAAAATACTGGGCCTACATGACAATTTCACTAAAGCTGAGGAGCAGCTGCTCCCCTTAGATAAGATATGAGATTTTCAATATCTGACACATGTAAGTATTTGAGTGTTTGATCACTGTAACTAAAGATTTTATCAGAAATGGGTCCTAGGCTAGGAAAAGCCAGCTTTTTTGATTTTCTGGGAATACTGGGTTTTAGAGTTGAAGTGGACAATACATGATCTATATTTTAAGCCTTTGGTTTCAACTAGTTGAGAAGAGGGATTTTACACAAATTGCAGAGTGGCACCCTCTCTGCCCAAACACATGTGTGCACAGGCACACACACACATAGACATACACACTAAATACTAAGTCACAGTTATACTGATTCTGTAAGTTAAGAAAAACTAAATATTCAACATAGTTTTCAGAAATTTCTACAGCTATGTAACATCTGTGTCATATCATTCCCATTTAATCATTAAAACTTGCACTGCCAAGTAAGCAAGCCTGGAAATGATGGGTCTCAAAAAACAACAATCAGGAATTCAAGGGAGGCTCTATAGTAACTCATCACTTAAACTAATTTCAGAAGGAATTACTGGTTCCCAAAGTTTGCTACACGTTGAATCATCTGGGATCTTTCAAAAATACTGATACCTGGCTCCCACCCCCACAAATTCTGATTTAATTAATATTGGATGTGATCTGGACATTAAAAAGAATTTTAAAAGCCATCCAGGTGATGTGAACATGCAGCAAGTTTGGAAACTACTGAATTACTAAAAAAGTATTCTAGTTCTATAATGTAAAACAAAGACATAAATTTCTTAAAAGAAGGAAGTTCAGAGAGTTCTCAAACGTTACAGAACAAATTATCAAAAAGTAAAACTCAGTGAGAAAGGTAAATAAAGTTTACTATGTCCAGCATGTAATAAAACAAGCAATACATTTTCAATTTGTTTTTGTGATGTGAATGGCTACTATGTAATAAAGTGATTAAAAATTACCTTCAATTGACACTAGACTAAAAGTTTCAATTTATTCACTGAATTGTTAGAACTTGGAGAAATACAGGCAATGGTATGATAATCCTGCATAATTTACTATAAGCAATATTATATTTATATCATGAGGTAAGTGGTACCATCAAAAAATTCTTTTAGTAAATAAAAATATAATTTCTCAAGTAATTATATACCGGTCAACAAATATTTACCCAGTATTTACTATGCAACAGATAAGAGACTATTCCAGGCACTAAGGATACAGCACTGAACAAATGAAAACAAAGCAACAAACCTAAACCCTCACAGAGGTTATACAGATCTAGAGTGGGAGGAGAGACAGACAAATACACAAACTGAAAAGGAGAGCCAGGGAGTAGGGGTATGAGGAATCAGCTGGGATTTGCGATTTTAAATAGAGAAGCGTGGAAAGGAAACATCTGAGAAAAAAAAAAATCTTGAAGGTTGTATTAGCATATATAATTAATATATACTAAAGGCAATAAATACATTAATAAAAATAATAATTCTGGCATAGTAAAACCGATAAATCTGAAGAGTACCATACCTCCATGTGGGATCTTAGGGTTCTCAGGGAGTCTTCCTGGATCAGTTATTGAGGCCCTTATTAAGGCAACCAGACAAAATATTGCAATGCCATAGAATACTAGAAGAAAAGGGAAAGGGAAAGGGAAAGGGAAAGGGAAAGGAAAAGGGAGAAAATTAGTCATTTTCCCTTCAAAACATTTTACTAACAAGCATATTTTAAAGTTTAAATGTATATTTTAATACTATCCACATAAATACGAGGGGAGACCCAGAAAACCTGTAATTTATTTATGAAAAATTGTGTATTTAGTTTTTGTGATATAATCATTATTGTATCATTTTTTCCATTACCATTTAATCGACTCACACCCCTTCCCCCAGCAATCACCACACTGTTGTCCATGTCCATGGGTCCTTTTTCCTTTTTGATCAAACTCTCCACCTCTTATCCTCACCACCATTCCCCGCCCCCCACTAGCTGTCATGCTGCTCTCTATCTATGAGTCTCTATTTTCTTTGTTATTTCTTATTTTCTTGTTAGTTGGCTTATTTCACTTAGCATAATGTTCTCCAGGTCCATCCATACTGTGCAAAGGATAAAATTTTCTTTTTTATGGCCAAGTAGTATTCCACTGCGTAAGTGTCCATTGTTGTTTTACCCACTCCTGTTGATGGACACTTGGGCTGCTTCCATACCTTGGCAATTGTAAATAACACTGCAATGAAAATATGGGTGGCTATGTTCTTTGGAATTAGTGTTTTGAGTTCCTTTGAATATATTCCCATAAATGGAATTGCTGGTTCAAAAGACAGATCCATTTTTAATTCTTTGAGGTACCTCCATACTGCTTCCCACAGTGGCTGTACCGGTTGGCATTCCCACCAACAGTGCACAAGGGTTCCCCTTTTTCCATGTCCTTGCCAGCACTTTTTGTTTGTTGACTTATTGATGATAGCTATTCTTTTGATTTTCTCTGATGATAAGTGACATTGAGTACCTTTTCACAAGTCTTTTTGTCATCGGTATGTCCTCTTTGGATAAGTGTCTATTCAGGTCCTTTGCCCATTTTTTAATTGTACTGTTTGATTTTTTACTGTTGAGTTTCAAAAGTTCTTTATACATTTTTTGGATATTAACCCCTTATAAGATATATCGTCGAATACGTTCTCCCATTCTGTGCATTGTCTTTTTATATTGATGATGGTTTCCTTTGCTGTGCAAAAATGTTTTAGTTTGATGTAGTCTCATTTGTTCATTTTTTTCTTTTGTTTCCCTTCCCGGGGAGATGTGTCCGATAAGACATTGCTAGGAGCAAAGTCCAAAATTTTGCTACTTACACCTTCTTCTAGGATTTTTATGGTTTCAGGACTAACATTTAAGTCTTTATCCATTTTGAATTTATGCTTGTGTGTGGTGTAAGAAGGTGATCGAGCTTCATTTTTCTGCACGTATCTGTTCAATTTTACCAATGCCACCTATTTAATAAACCATCTTTAGCCCATTGTATGTGCCTGCCACCTCTGTCGAACATTGACTATAAAGGTATGGGTTTATTTCTGGGTTCTCTGTTCTGCACCATTGATCTATGTGTCTGTTTTTATGCCAGGACGATACTGTTTTGATTACTATGGCCTTATAGTATAGTTTGATATTAGGTAGTGTGATTCCTCCAACTTTGTGTTTCCTTCTCAGGATTGTTGTTGCTATGTGGTACCTTTTGTGGTTCCACATAAATTTTTGAAATATTTGTTCTAGTCCTATGAAGTATGTCTTTGGAATCTTGATAGGAATTGCACTGAATCTATAGATTGCTTTGGGTAGTGTGGACATTTTAATGATGCTAATTATTCCTAGCCATGAATATAATATGTGCTTCCACTTAACACATTTGTATTTTCTTCATTCTTCAGTGTCTTATAATTTTCTGAGTACAGGTCTTTCACATCCTTGGTTAGGTTTATTCCTAGGTAGTTTATTCTTCTTGAAGCAATTGTGAATGGGATTGTTTTCTTAATTTCTCTTTCTATTCATTTCTTATTGGCATATAAAAATGCAACTGATTTCTGGATATTAATTATGCATCCTGCTACTCTGCTGAATTTCTGTTCTAGTAGTTTCTTGGTGGAGTTTTTGGGGTTCTCTATGCACAGCACCATGTCATTGCCAAATAAAGACAATTTTACTTCTTGCTTTCTAATTTAAAAGCTTTTTATTTCTTCTTCTCTGATTGCTGTGGCCAGGACTTCCAGTACTATGTTAAATAAGAGAGGTAAAAAAGCAGACATTCCTGTCTTGATCCCAATCTAACCAGATCACCTGTAGACTTTGCCTGTTGAGTATGATGCTGGCAGTGGGTTTGCCATTCACAGACATTTAGGTATGTTCCTTCTAATCCCATTTTGCTGAGAGTTTTTATCATAAATGGGTGCTAGATTTTATCAAATGCTTTTCTGCATTTATTTGATATGATCATTTGGCTTCTGATCCTTCATTTTGTTGATGAGGTGAATCACATTTATTGATTTGTGAGTGTTTTACCAACTTTGACCTACTTTATCATGGTGTATGATCTTTTTGATGCACTGCTGTATTTGGTTTGGTCATATTTTTTTTGAGAAATTTAGCAACTGTGTTCATCAGGGATATTGGTCTACAATTTTCTTTCTTCGTAGTGTTTTTATCTGGTTTTGGAATTAGGATAATGCTGGCCTCATAAAATGAGTTGGCAGCCTTCCTTCTTGAATTTTATGACACAGTTTGAGGAGGAGAGGTGTTAGTTCTCAGAATGTTTGGTAAAATTCTCCTGTGAAGCCATCTAGTCCAAGGCTTTTGTTTCTTGGGAGTTTTTTGATTATTGCTTCAATTTTACTATGTGTTATCTGTCTATTCAGTTTCTCTGATTCTTCCTGATTTAGTTTTGGAAGATTGTATGTTTCAAGGAATTTATCCATTTTGTACAGGTTGTCCAGTTTGTTGGCATACAGTTGTTCATATTTTCTTACAATCTTTTGTATTTCTTTGGTGTCAGTTGTTATTTCTCCTCTTCCATTTCTTATTTTATTTATGTCCTTACTCTTTTTTCTTGATGAGCCTGGTTAAAGGTTTGTCAATCTTGTTTATCTTTTCAAAGAACCAGCTCTTGGATTTACTGATCTTTTGTATCATTGTTTTAGATTCTATTTCATTTATTTCTGCTCTGATCATTATTATTTCCTTCCTTCTACTCACTGTGGGCTTCCTTTGTTTTTCTCTTTCAAGTTACTTTAAGTGTAAAGTTAAATTATTCATTTCAGCTTTTTCTTATTTTTTGAGATAGTACTGCAATGCTATAAATTTCCCTCTTAGGATTGCTATCTCAGTGTCCCACAGATTTTGGATTGTTGTGTCCTCATTTTCCTTTTTAAGGTATCTTTTGATTTCTTTCTTGATCTTGTTGTCAACCCATTGTTTAATAACATGTTATTTATCTTCCATGTCTGTGTGTGTTTTTCAGAGTTCTTGTGATTGATTCCTAGTTTCATAGCATTGTGGTTAGAGAAGATGTTTGATATGATTTCAAACTTCCTAAATTTATTAAGACTTGTTTTGTATCCCAACATGTGGTCTATGTTAGAAAATGTTCCATGTGCATTTGAAAAGTATGTATATTCTGCTGCTTTTGGGTGATAAGCTCTGAAGATTATCGATTGAATCCATGTGATTCAGGGTGTTGTTTAAGGCTGCTGGCTCCTTGTAGCTTTCCTGTCAGGAAGATCTATAGTGTCTTGAAGTCAGTGGGGTGTTAAAATCCCCAACAATGACTCTATTTCTGTCCATTTCTCCCTTTATGTCCATCAAGATTTTCTTCACATATTTAGGTGCTCCTATCCTGGGTATGTAAATGTTTACTAGGGTTATATCCTCTTGTTGGATTGTTCCCTTACGTAATGTCCTTCATTGTCTCTTACTATAGCCCTATTTTTAAAGTCTATTTTGTCAAATATAAGTACTGCCACCCTAGCTTTTATTTTTTCAAGATATTTGCATGAAATATCTTTTTCCATCCCTTTTAGTCTGTGTCTTTCGACATGAGATGGGCATCTTGGAGGCAGCACACATACGGGATTTCTCTTCTTATCCATTCAGCTACCCTGTCTTATGGTTGGAGCATTTAAGCCATTTACATTTAAGGTAACTATTGATAGATACATATTTACTGCCATTTTATATTTTCCTGTGGTTTTTTCCTTTCTCTTTTTTTCCTTCTGCTTCTTAAAGTAAGCCCTTTAACATTTGTTGCAGTACTAGCTTAGTGTTAACAAACTCCTTTAGCTGCTTCTTGTCTGGGAAGCTCCTTATTTCTCCTTCGATTTTAAGTGACAGCCTTGCTGGGTAAAGTAGCCTTAGTTGTAGGTCCTTGCTTTCCATCACCTTGAATATTTCACACCACTCCCTTCTTGTCTGATGTTTGTGTTGAGAAATCAGATGAGTGTCTAATTGGTGCTCCCTTGTGTATAACTACCTACTTTTCTCTGCCACTTTTAGGATTCTCACCTTGTCTTTAAGCCTTGTCACTTTAAATATGATGTATCTGGGTGTGGGCATCTTTGGGTCCAACTTGTCTGGGACTCTCTGAGCTTCCTGGACTTGTGTCTTTTTCCTTCATCAGATTCAGGAGGTTTTCTGTCATTATTTCTTCAAATAAGTTCTCGATCCCTTGCTCACTCTCTTCTCCTTCAGGTAGTTCCATGATGCAGATGTTATTCCATTTCATGTTGTCCAAAATGCTTCTCAAGCTCTTCTCATTTTTTTAAATTATTTTGTCTTTTTGTTGCTCTGCCTAGATGTTTTCCCTACATTGCATTCCAAATCACTGATTTGATCCTCTGCTTCATCTAATCTAGTGTTTATTCCTTCCTGTGTATTATTTTTTGGTTTCTATGTCTTTCTTTATGCTGTTGAGTACCCTTATCATCTTTAAACTCTCTAAATGATAAACTGCTTGCCTCCATTTCATCTATTTCTTCTAGAGAATTCCTCTAGTTCTTTCACTTGGGATCTGTTTCTTTGTCTTCCCATTTTGGCTGCTTCTTTGTATTTCTTTCTATGTATTAGGTAGATCTGCAAAGACTCTGGTGTAGGCCTTTGTCATATGCTACTTGTGACTGGCCCTTGTATCAGCGATCCATAGCATGTGGCTCCCTCTGCTGGACCTTTTTGTGTGCAGAAAGAAACAGGCTGTGCATCAAGGCTGGTTTTTATCAGCCCCAGACCTGAGGTGGGGCGAGAGGTAGGGGACCAGCTGAAATCTCAGAGCCCCCAAAGAACTCCCTTAGTTGTTAAACTAATCAATGATGCAGCCTCAAGCTGTAGTCAGCAGTCTGGCTTACGCTCCACAGGGTGAGATTGGTTCCCCTCAGGTTGATGCTACTTGGGAGTGTTCTGCCTGAGAAAGATGACTTCTGCACTACGGGGAATGATTCAGCACAGGAATCCTGGCAGCTGTTCCTTCAGTTCTCTCCTCAGAGCCACCAACCCCCCAATTCTCCTCTAGCATCTCTAGTCCACTCTGCCCTCCCTCTGCCAGAGCCCAGGGTAAGTGGCTACAAACAATATTTTGTGTATTTGCCCTTTAAGAGGCTCTCTGCATCTCCAGCTGTCTCTCCCTGGGGGACAGAAACCCCACAGCTTTTCACAGCTGGATGTTATCTGGGTTCCTTTCCCAGCTCTGGTGCTGAAGGCTTGAGAGCCGAGCTTGGGGTTTAGTCCCCATACTTCTCAGGAGAAACCCCTCTGCTGCTCAAATATCCCTCCAGGACTTCAGCTGCCACCCACGGGAGCCTAGCTTGCATTCTCACACCTCCTCCATACTCCCTACCGGTCACATTGTGGTGAGGTGGTTTCTTCTGCCTGTCCTTGCCTGTCAGTTGGTTATTCAGGATGATTTATCTACAACTTAGTTGGAATACGAGAATGGTACTGGGAGGAGGTTAGTGTAGCTTCCACTTACTCCTCCACCATCTTAGGTCCTATGAGTTCCACAGGTGCCAGCCACTTCTCTCACGTGTTGGCGTGCCCTTTGGCCACTGTCTTTTCTCCACCTCTCACTTGAAGGCAGGAGTCATTGTGTATTTATTCTTACATGTTTAAACTTCAGTCACCTTCAAAGTACTCTCCATTACAATATACCTAATGAGACATTTTTTCTACTGCTCAAGTTTTTGAACTCAACTACTCTGATGCCTTTTAGTGCTTTTGCTGTTTTTTGTTTCACCTCTTCCACATCAGCAAAATGTTTCCCTTTAAGGACTTCTTTCATCCGGGGTTGGGGGAGTCACCTGGGGCAAGATTGGGAAAATAGGGAGGGTAGAGCATGGAGGTCCCACCATTTTTGGTCAAAAACTGCTGACCACTCAGCACAGTGTGGGAAGATGTACCCATAAATCACCCATCATGAAATGGGCAAATATATTAAGAGTCTTCAAAAAAATTCACTGAATCCCAACACAGCTTCTCACAACAACGCCAGCTGATACACTGATACAAATGAGTTCCTAGAACACTAACCTAGCAGAGGGAGGCCTGTGTTACAAGAGTCCCGCTCTCCAGAAAATAATTCCAGGTTTTTAGGGGTCCCCCCTTGTAATTTTCAAAACATGGAAAAATTTATTTCATTCATCAAATAATACTGCCAAGATGACTATCTTCAACTTACCACTTTTAAATGTTATTTTGCATAGTAACTGATAAACTTGTAATAAATCAGATTCTTTATTTACAGAGATTCCCTATAAATAATGGTATAAATGAATGGGTTTCCTTTTAATTACTACATGTGCTTTATTTGAAAAAAATTAAAGCCGGATTTTTAAACATATTCTACAATTAAACTTTTTCATTAACTCTAACTGGCTATCTTCAAAATTATTTTGAGTTAGTGGTGTCAAATAGTTCCTTTCAATAGATTTTAAGATACTTAATTAGAAAATAAAGAATCTAGGAACTTTTTTAAAGTTTTAAAATGCAAAGCTAGACAAAGTAAGAGAAGATAGATTCACTCATCATAATTCAAGCTTTTAAGTAAATAAAAAATACGCATTCTGTAGGGGGAAGGAGTAAGAAGGCACTGCTCCTGTAACAGGAAACTTAATTCAAGTGCTAACTCCAGGGCTGACTGTATGGTATTGTTCAGTGTTATCATTTGTATATCAGAGATTATATTTCCCACAGCTCTTGCAAAGTCAGTAAGACACAATGTACATGGAAACTGTAAATGCCATGTACATGTAAAATATGTCATTTCAAACTTAATCATAAGCAAGCCATTACCAATGAACTACAGCAGAAAATATTATGTAGTATTTCAAAGTAGTATAATGAACATCATAATCAATAATATTTATATCATAAAAATCTCACTTATTAATGTATACCATCTTCATTCTTAAAACTCCTACATTTGCATTAAGTACATAACAGAAATATTAAAAATACACACACAAATTAGCACCACTAATTTTTTTTAAAATTAGCACCACTAGTTTTTTTAAAAATAAAATGATCTTTATATATTTTGCAGAGTTAGATAAGGAGATAATCACATTTATCTAAACCTGCCAAGTAGGATATAAAGGCCATTGTTTTAAAACTTCAATAATTTAGAAATAACTTAGTATTAATAGCACTAATATTAAAAGAAAGGTGATCATAGTAATGCTATATTCCAAAAATATTCACAATGAGGAAAAATCTTTAATTATATGAAGAAATAAAGACCTAGAAACTTACTTATTATTAATATGCCTGGAATATGTCCTTCTTCATAGTGAGGAAAGAGGACAATTTTTGGAATTATAACAATATTGTATAACCAGACAAAGACAATCACACCCATGCAGCACCAACCATGTGGGTCAACAACAAAGTGAATCCGGAGACCCATTTTGCAGTCCAACAACTGCCTACAAACCCACAAGGAAGGGTGATCCTAAGGAGGGAGGAAAAAGAAAAAGTTATTTATATTAAAAATATTATTTGACTAAAACAAAGCTACCTTACTGGCAACTATAAAATGATACTTGTTGAATTTTCTTTGTATATTTTTTTAAAGATTTTATTTATATTTCTAGAGGGAGGTAGAAAGAGAGGGAGAGAAGCATCGATATATGAGAGAAACATGGACTGGCTGCCTCTCCCAGGCCCCCAGCTGAAGACCTGGCCTGCAATCCAGGCATGTGCCCTGACCAGGAATTGAACCAGTGGCTTTTCAGTTCACAGGCCGGCACTCAGTCCACTAAGCCAAACCAGCCAGGCCTTCTTTGTATATTTTTGACAAAATAAAGCACTTTAGAAAACAAAGAGGAGTTCCAGGATATTCAAATTTCACCATAAACTTCAAATAATTTAATTTAAATTTTCTTTATAAATTGGCACTATTTTCTAAAGTTAAACACAAGTCTGTCCTTAACCCAGCAATTCCATGTGTAAACCCAAAAGAAATGAGTACACATACCCACCAAAACATATACATATATACATATACATATATATTATATATATATATTTAGTAGTTTAAATCATAAGACTAAATGATCATCCAAGTCAAAATAGTAATTAATTTTGTGGTGGGAGGGTGTTTATTAACTGTAAAGAGACACAAGGGAACCTTTGTGGGGCTAGAAATGTTCTATCTCTTGACCTGGTTAGTGCTTTATGGACATGTACACATGTACAAATTTACCAAGCTGTACAATTAAGATTTGTGTGATTTAGTTTATTTTAAACCATAGTAAAATCATTTTTGAAAAGTCATAATAAAAAGTGAAAAGTAATTACAAATTGCCAAAAATATTTAAATTCATGGAATAAAGTCCACTGAATCTTATTATTATCAATTGAAGAAGACTCCTGTTTAAATGGGGCTTTTTTCAGTTGAGTGTTAACAAAATGCTAACAGGATTAGAATTTTGAACCACTCAAAGTTAAGGTACTTCTATACCTATGAACCACTTAAAGTTAAGATACTTCTATACCTATAGTACCAAAAAAGTAACTTTAAAAAATCCATACTTCAGTAGATGTAACTTATAAGTTTAAACAATAAATTATTATATAAGGTCTAGGGGCACCTTTACATAAAATACAATGAAATAATACAATAATAAACTAGGCCGATGTTTCTAAAACTGTAAGCAAACCAGAATCAATTGAGAAGCTTTGAAAGAATACTATTTCCAGATCCTATTCCAGTTCTATTGAATCATAATTCTTTATGGAATAAAGCTCATAAACAAACGAAATGTTTAAAATGCTCCCCAATTGTATGATACAGCTGAGCAGTATCTAGAAACCTGTAATCCAGGCACTTCAGCAATGAGGTGAGCTCAGTTCAACAAATAAATATTCATTGAGCCTCCACTATATAGCAGTCACTTAGTATGCACTGTACATACAATGATGAATAAGACCTCGTCTTTGCTTAAGGAAACTAATAATCTTATGGGGAAAAGAGTCATAAAATGGGTTTAATATAATATGGTAAGTTCCAGAGATGTGGACAAGTTGTTGCCAGAGGCACAAAACACTGGTACTAGTTAAACTAGGACGAGACTTCCTATAGAGGCTTCCTGAGTTCAGTCTTAAAAGATGAGTAAAAGTTATCCAAGCAAAGTGACGGACACTGTAAACAGAAGAAAAAGCAAGAGGTATACAAGAGTAAAAATTGTATGAGGTATTACAAATTACCATCATAAATCACAAATTTTTCAGTGGAGAGTGAATGGTGAGAAGGGCCTATGTCATGGAGTACATAAAGATGCCAGGTTAGAATGTTTGCACTTCATTCCTAGGCATTGGAAAGCTATTGAAGCAGGGGTTTAACATAAGATTTATACTTTAAATAAATTACTGAAGCTCTTGTGAGGAAGATGAAAAGATCAGTTAGTGTTAAGAGAAGACAAAAGCCAAAATTAGTTTTGGAGAAGAGTCAACTAAAAAAATAGTTAAAATCAAACCAGTGCTTTTATTAATTGATTTGATATTAGGCGTCACAGAAGAAAAAGTTAAGGATGACTGCCAGATTTTCAGTTTATATCCCAAACTACTTCATTCTTAGAATAATTTATCATTAGCTGAAGAGCCTCAGGGTACCATCTATTAGAGGCCTTGACAATGTTCTTTAAAGCTACAAGTCTACCAGAACAAGAAAAAAAAGATTAAGGATTATTTAATTTTAAAAGAATACCCCTACGCTATCATCCCTAGAACCTACAAATGTTGGAGCAGCAGAAAATAAGACAGGAACTCAAATGCAATACCACTCAACTGCTTAAATCAGATATGGTCTAAATTAGTCTTTACCTCTGAAGTCTAAAATATGAATAGCATATAGGTCTTTAAAAAATAAAAAGTAAAAGTTGAACTTTATTACCTTTTAATTAGAAAATTAAAATACCTATCAGTATCATTTAAGCAAGAAAAGTCACAGAGGATAAAGTATGCTATTTAACTTGCTAGGGATTATTTTAAAATCTAAAGGACCTCAAAAAAAAATCATAAGCTATCTACATAGCTAAAAAGAGAAACATTAAAAAGAATGTTTAAGTTTATAGTCTTGCCAACCATCAAATGCTAAAAGAAATGACAGAAGGCTCTGTCTCTCAATATATTCAATATTATTAACTTCATGTACTTTCTTTCAATGATTCAGTTTCATTCAGGACTAAACAACAGATTATAAATTATAATAATTATACAGAACAGAGTAATTTCATTACTTATTTCTAAATTTGTTAATATTAGAAACAGAAAAGCAAACAAGTCAGCAAAACAAGTTGTAAAATTATCAATAACTCATTCATATTTTGAACTTTATTTTTATTCTCCACTATCAGAGAATAAATTTTTCTTATCACTAAATGAGATTCCTCACAACAGAAAATATTAGATAATGAAAAATAAGGTTAAAATGTATCTATTTTTCCTGGATATAAACATATATAGACAACAAACTAAAAGAACAAGTATATTAAGGAAAAGTGAGCAAAGGATAGAAAAATAAAACAGTAAGCAAATAAGATGTTGAATATTTTTTTTAAAAATACCTGATTAGTGAAAATTAGTGCCACATAACCCTTACAATTAGATTGCAGAGAAGAAAACAGTAGTCTTCCAAGAGCTCCAAATCAGATTACCACCAGAAACCTGAGCTGCAGGATCACTCCGCTCAGTTAGTATCTACCAGGCGTGGCTTATGGCTGAACAGAAACTATTACACATCCTGAGCAACATCTGAATGGAACACAATGCTGTTACTCCGTCTTAAGGGAGGCATTTGTAAAACACTTTCCTTAGGCAGAGATTCCAACATATTAATTTGGAATCTCAAACTCATAACTCAAACTTTGATGTAACTAGTGGACATACTGGTATTTCGACATTTTTCAAGGTTGATATCTGGTAACTATACTTGAGTGCTGTGACTAACTTCATTAACGATGTAATTACTACAGCACAAAGATTTTTTTTTAAAGAAATTATAATTCAACTCTAATAAACTAGACTACATAAATATTTACAATGTTCAAATTATTCTGGTAGGAAATTACCTTTCCTTTTTGCCCTTTCAGGCTGCTAAATTTCACCTCACATTTTCCTCAGGAGAAATACTCAAGTCACTATAAAAAGAAAGTGACATAAACTATAGTATCAGAGTGCAGATTTTAGAAAATGATAGAAGTTAGCCAAAATAATTTACAAGAAAGCTAGTACAACATGTATCTCTAAACTTACAGTTTTATCTGACTCTCCACCTAAGCCCGTGGTCTTACTACTGTTCCATGAACATGAAAAATATGTGCCAGCTCCCATTTCTCCTTTCTGAAATGTTCTTACCATTTTTCTTACTCTAAATTCAATTCATATTTCAAGGTCAATTTGAATCTCACTCTCCATATAAAAATTTTCCTGGCACCTCAGTTCACAATGATTTCTCTTTCTCCTCTAAATTCCAAATAAAAAGCAAAACTAGTAAAAGAAAATAGCAAGTGGTTTTATAATCTTGGAATGAGGCGGGCCTTCACAAATGGGACCCATAAGCCAAGTTTGACCACTTAAAAGGAAAAGTTCTGAAACCCAAGACACACCAAAAATAAAGTTAAAAGACAAAGCATCCCTGGAAAATAATAACATATGACTAATAACAAGCACACAAAGTAAATACTTAGGCAATTCACAGAAGGAAAAAAATCCAATGGCCATCGCTAGTGATTAAGAAAATGTGAAATAACTAGATCTATTTTTCATCCTTTGTATTGACAAAATTTTGGAAAGACAGATAATATCCAATGTTGAGAGAACAGAGAGAAAAGGACACGCTGGTATGCATATAAACTGATACAATCATTTGGAGGGCCATTTGACAGTATCTATTAAAATATCATTTATTGACCCAGCAGTTTTATTTCTAGTAATACCTAAAAAATACTCATTAGAGTGCACAGATAGATATATACACAAGGATGTTCTATACATCACTTTGTTTTCCCTCACCCAAGGACATTTTTTCATTGCTTTTAGGGAGAGACAGGAAGGGAGAAAGAGAAACGATGCAAGATAGAAGCATTGATTGGTCACCTCCTGTATGAGCCCAGACCAGGGATTGCACATGCTCAGATGGTGGACTGAACTCGCAACTTAGGTATATGTTCTCATTGGGAATCGATCCCGCAGCCTTTTGGTTATGATATTCCAACCAGTTGAGCCATGCTGGCCAGGGCAAACACCACTTTCGTAATCACAAAAATACAGCAAAATCTAAATGTCCATGCACAGGGAGAGAAGAGGAACAATTAAATAAATTACAATATCCATAGTGTAAACTATTTCTAAGCCACTGCAATTTTAAAAGAAAAAAATAGGAAGAAGAAGTAGATCTAGATCTCCATATAGCTACCCACATATAGTATTGAGGGGAAAAAAAGTTACATAGGCAAAATCTGCCGGGGAATGGGGGTGGGGGCTTTAACAGTGGTTTCCTGAAAGGGGAGGCAGAAAAAGATAAACTAGGAAAGGGCAGAAGAGAACTTCCGTGGTGCTAGTAAAGATCTCTATCTTGGCATGAGTTTGAGGTACAAGGGTTATAAACTGTCAAAATTCTGTCAACATACACTTAAGATTGTTACATTTCATGGTATGTAAATTTACATTTTAAAAAACCCTGTAAACCAATATTGAACTCTAGTTAATAATATTCATGCTGAAAGTACTGGGGAAAGCAGGGAGGAAGTGTACTGATGTATGCAATTTACTTTGAACAGGATCCAAAAAAATAAAATTAAATAAATAAAATAAAGTGGGCTGATAGGACAGAGGGATGGATGAGTATGTGATGAGGTTCAGTAAAGTATTAGTTGTAAATGTAGGGGATGGGTACTTAGATGTTACACTACATACTCATAATTCTTTCAACTCTCCTGTTAAAAATTTTTTATAATTAAATGTTGGAGGGGAAAGCAAGTTATTAAAAAATGTGTATGACATGATTCTGTTTCTGTTAGAAGAAAAGTATTTGGAGTTTCTGTATGTAAATAGGAAAAAAGTGTGAAAGAGAACACACCTACAAAACTGTTAACAGTGGTTATCCCTAGGCTGAGCACTAGGCTGAGAAAGAAAAGAGCAATGAGAAAGAAGGCTTTCACATTTTATGTACGTATTAATGTACTATTCTAAGTTTATTAGTAAACATGTAGTTCTAAATTCTTTTTAGCCAACTGAAAAATAAAGATAGCCTAGATGGTCTGATTAGGCACTACAACCTTACAAACAAAATGTTTAAGTCTCTGTTTATTGCTATATGTTATCCTTATTTTAAATTTAAAATTAAATTTTTAATTTTTAAATTTAATTTAAAATTAAATTTTTAATTTTTAAATTTAATTTAAAATTAAATTTTTAATTTTTAAATTTAATTTAAAATTAATATTTTAAAAATGCAATGCAGAAGCATCAGCTATAAATCCATGTAATATCTGTAATCCAGAAGGATATTTCTGAAACTTGTATTTCTTACAGATTATATTTCTCTATTAAAAAAAGCCTTATTTAAGAAAATGTTTAGTTAAAATTTAACATTATAAATTTTAAATAAACAAAGTAAATTTTTTTTGCAAATGAACAATTATTAAATACATCTAACATAGGAATTAACACTCTATGCCACATAATTAAAAAACTTTTGCCAGGTAAAATTAAATACAGACTTACCACTTGCAAATTCACTGTGATGTGTTGTAATTTTTCTGGTACTTGCACTTAGAGGTTTTATCTTGATTCATTCTTTTTTTATTGCATTCCAACAAATAGATTTCTCTTCAAAAACAGTTTTCCATAAGAATCTATTAACAGTTTAACAAATAATTATCTCTCACAAAGATAAAAATTGTAAGCAGCTAAATAATATAACCATAAAAATGTCAATTATGAAATTATAACTTCAGAAATAAGATGACTGAATTCCACCCGGTTCTGTGCTTTCATATCCTACACCGTTCCTAAAAAATGTGCATTTCATTACCATTATACATGCAAAGTTCTCTTTTTTGAAATCACTCAGTTTCCATAAAAAAACAAATCAGCATTATGAGTCTAGCATTTGGACTTCATCAAACTTCCAGACTATAAATCACAAAATGACAATCAATTCTGAGACCACTGATGGGACAAAATGCAATGTAATGTCTATCATAATGTAAGGCTAGAACTATCTAATCATATTTGATAAACATAAAATGAAGAGTTTAAAATAGAAGCAAGTTTTAGTTTAAAATGTAAGGAAAAAGGTTATCTTTCGATAATAAAACCATTAAGAAAAACAATCATAAAAGTTAGTTTCTACAGTTCAAGCTTAAATGGTAAATACTGGGAAGAGTTCTAGATAGTATACAGAGTCAATATTCCATTAACCTAATCAACATCTATTAACTCTATATATGTGCTTTGGTGCTGGATATAATACCAGAGAAGGGCCCTATTCTCAGTGGAGAAAGACTAGTAAACACATAAGATCAATATCACATAAAACAAAGTAAGATAGAGGGCAAGGGGGAAAGAAAGCATCTCATATAGGAAGGATATTGTGTCATGGACTTTTTTCACTTATGTGAAAATTTATGTGTGTAGTAGATTGCAACACAAAATGTATTTCCGATGGTAAAACTGCCATCAGGAAAAGATTTCTGGAGAGAGTGAAATCTGTGAATCAGCTAAATGAAGAATGGAGGTACATCTGAACAAGGAGCAAATAAGCAAAGCTATAAATAAAAGCAGGCCAAAAATCCAATTAAGCTGAAATGACAAGAGTCATTGCATATGGAAGGATGAGATAAAGCATGTCTATCCTTTTGACCACAATCAACTCTAAAAAATATATTTAATAATGTTACTAGTATACACAAATATGAAATATATAAGTATATATTGCATGTATGAAATATATAACTGTTTTAATGAAATATTTATCCTTACTATAGGCAATACATTGATATTACTTCCTGACTCACAATCAGAAAATGATCTAAAAGTGAAAAACACTGTTAAACCATGCCCCTGAGTTTGTATTTCACCCAGAACACAGTGGGAAACGCTAAAGGATTCTGGACATAAAATGCCATGATGAAACTTCCATTCTGGAAAAAAGAGCAACATTTTGAAGATTGGACTGAGGTGGATGCATAAGGCTCCAAGACTGACTAAAGGAAATTAGAGAGGCTTACTGTGGTTTCCCACAAGAGACATGAGAGCACCCCCAAAGTGGTAACTTATAAGGGTAATAGGGAGGGGAAGGAGTGAGGATGGAACATTTTAGATAGGAGGCACACTGGAAAAGGAAAATTAAGAATTTAATGAGTAAAATGTATAGGAATTGTTGAACTGGAAGCAAAGAGCACATGCGAGGATGGTTCCCAAGTTTTGGCTTAGGAACTAGGTGAAGGGTGGTACCATTCTCCAAAACAAGAAATAATGGACACGTTATGAGCTTGTTAAATATACTGCTTACCATAGCAATGAAAAAACATTACATGTTGAGGATGTAAAAAAATACATCAAAATAATTATCATTACATTTCCATTCCCCTTAGAGATTTTTTTTTTTAAACTATTATCTCTCAGGGTCAATTTTTCTACGGTCCAGATTGTCGAACGTAATTTATTTCTACCCTAACTTTCTAAGCTAATTTAAAGTGGTCTCCTTGGCTGTACCTTTGTTTCTTAAAGACAAAATATGGAATGACCAAGTAAAGGAGCCATTGCTCTAATGGGAAAGGAATGAATTCATCTTCTTCTAGAAAAATTCTCACGCAGAATTAAATGTGGTACATCAAAATATTCTGAAACATGGCCAAGGTCGATTATGCTGTGAAGACTATGACTCTACAGTGGCTTTCCAATGTTTCAGCACAGCAGTTTCTGTCAGTTACATTATTAGGTAATAGCACAGGTCAACCATCCATGAGTCAAACCCCAGTCACTCACTGGCTTAAAAACAAGAAAGAAATTCTACTTTACGCTTACAGTTATTACAGATACACTGCAGCAATAATATACAAAATGAGATGAACAGTTCATCTAGTTCAACAACATCACAACCACTGTGGAACCAAATCTCCTCTATGTAGTATAAAAGCAAAGTTAGCCTTAAAAATCTGGGAAATTTTAGGGTAACAAAGAATATCCCAAACTTTCATAACTATAAAATGTTAACTAAATACTTTTAATATTGCCATGTCTAAAAGAATGCAATCAACAATTTACACAGCATACAAAAAAGAAAAACATTTTCCCCAACAGGATCAAAAGAAAATGGTTAAAATATATTTGAATATATAAAATATAAACCTATAATTGCACCTCAAAGTAAGTCCTAAGAACAAAGTTACAACTGTGTATCTTTAAATATATACTTATACAGCTATTTAACTTCTGATTTTATCTACCCTGAAAATTGGTCAAGTTTAATAATTCTACCTAAAATATCCTTAATAATTAGCCAATGAGGTATTTAACTTTTTGACTATCACATCACTATTCAGTTTATTTCAATAGAGTAGGAAATCAATTTTGCACAGATAGCAAAAAGAGAGCCACATTCAAATTATGACACAGCCTCTTCAGTTTCTTTTCAAGCTTCAGCTTAACCATCTGTAAAATGTTGATAAAAAATATTAATTCATTGGGTTGTTGTGCTTAAACAATAAAATGCCTGGCAAATGATAAACACCTCAAAAAATTACAACTTTAAAGGGAAGTGCAAGAGGAGAGAGGAAGGGCAACTCAAAGGTGAGTTCTGCCTCTAGTCTTACAAAGTCCAGAATAAAAAAATGATTCTGGGCCCCCATTATTAAAGTGGTGACACAATTTAATCATACCCCAGTTACCTACCTTCTCTAACACTAAAGTCTGAAAACTACTTGTCAGAGATGAGAAATCACAGATTGTACGTCTTTTCAGCTACTATCATACTGTAAGCATGTAGGGAAGTTGATGTGAGGTCTCTTCAAGCAGAAACCCAAAAATAGAGTGGTAATCTAAAACAGAACTGAACTAAAGCCTGTCAACTAAATCTCTTTCAGGTAAAAACAGAGAACTGGTGAGTTACGGAATGAAGCATGGGAGAAAATCATGACCTGATTTTAGGAGCTAATGAAGAATGGATAATTGAAGTAAGGAATTCTGATTCAATTGTTGAGTTCTCCAGGAAAATTTTGTGAAAATGTGAGCAGTGCTACTTCATGTCTATGAAGATGGGCTTTTTAAACTAGACTAACTCAATTTACCAATGGGCTTTTTAAACTAGACTAACTCAATTTACCAGTAGCTTTTTCAATTTACCAATGAAAAAGCTACTTCATGTCTATGAAGATGGGCTTTTTAAAGTAGACTAACTCAATAGTAACCAAAAAGTCACTATTCTGACAATAAGAATGGTGATTTTTCATGCTTGTTTTTCACCTGTATTTTTTACTGATTCAAAAGTTCAAACATTTTCAACCTAACCAGTATTAATGCACTGCTTATTCTACTAAATGTTAAAATGCCATTTATATTTAGTGCATTTTAAAAGTCGAATCTGAGCCCTAATAGTTTACTAAATAAAAAGTTTTTATTCTTTAGTATAAAAGTAAAACTGAGCTAATGGAACAACTTTCTAGTAATTAAAATAGCTTTTCCTCTGGCTTCCCTATTATGCCTGGTAGTACTGACACCACCACTACGTGGCCTTCTAAGAGGAGAAAGATTTTGACTCTCACTCAATTACAATGCCAGAGAAAAGCTCCATGGAGACATTAGACTTTTCAATTCATTTCTTCACTAATACATGGCACAATTTTCCCCATGCTCATGTCAAAAGTTCTGAATCAATCCCTATGAATTAAAGAAATGAGGCAGTGGGCAAATAAGTAAAAATTTTATGATTCACAGGTTATCTTGTTTTATAACCTACCTGTTAAGCTAATGGTTATGCATATGCATTTTAAAATGCTCCAGTTACTTTTATTAAATAAAACAACCCAGAGATAGGGAATGTAACACAATTATCACCTTTTGGTCTATTTCACATACTCCAACTACAGCTTCTAAAGCATGTTAAGCTTAACAGAAATCACAACAGTTTGAAGGGACCTATTATGATCCTATTGCTTTACATCCAAAATGGGGAGTTCTGGAATAGTGCAATATTATGCCAAACACTATTCCAAAAATATGGAATGATACATTTTTTACTTATATTTTGATATAATTTTATTAATATTTCTTCAAGTAAATGTTTTAAATTCTCCTTTAACAAGTTAAACAGTCTCAAATTATTTACAAACATTATATATGCCAGCTAAGCATGGAAAAGCAAATAAGATTACTCAAAGAATTCAGCCTGACTCTGTAGCTATATAGATGAAAAACAGCTTGGGTCACTGACCTACCCATGACCCCACAGCTAGACTGTGACAGCAATGGGACAAAAATCCACAAAACCAAATCTCATTTGGTGCCTTCTTTCTGGTTGGTTTCTCATCTCATTTTGTCTTCAAAAACCTTTTTGACATTTAGACATAACTAAGCAAAATAAAGCACCCCCCCCCCCCGGATATTATCTTTAAAATAAGTCAAATCTAAAAAGTTGGAAGTATTTAATAATATAGTACATAAAAAGCATTTTAGTCCAGGGATGGCACATACTACCTTTTCTTCATCATCATCATCACCACCACAAGGAAGGTAGTGAATTTGTTAAGTACACATATTAGCACGCGAGACTGAGGACCCATATGACCCGTTTTTAACTTACGCTTAATTATCCTGAGTCCTCTTTACTTTAGACTGTAACTTTACACTATGATTTATTACCCACCCACAATGACCTTGATTTTTTTCCCTGTTGTACTTTTATAGACTACTATATTGCAATATTTTCAAGTAATAACTAGTCAGGTTCTCTCAGCCCTAGAGATACAGACATCGTCCACTGACTCACACGGGATCATAAAACGTGACCCAAATATAGCTTGAGAAAGACCACAACTTTGAATGGTCTCTCCAGTTAAATTCAGCGACCTGTTATAGCGAATGGTAACAAGTGCAAACTGCTGCCATTTATAAGCCAGTTTCTCAAAACCACTCTAGGATCTAAGGGACGGAGGCAGGAGGTCAATAAAGGAGTAAACTATCTCCTCCTGCTGTTCCTCTGCGGCCTCACACCAGCGATCTGGAAATGAATGAAAGGCTGTGGTAGCATAAATCCGATTTCACTGCGCGCAGGTCTCGGATTCGAGGTGCAAGAGGGATAAACACTAGTTCACAAGCGAGAAACTCAGGGCACAGGCTTAATAAATTTAAAAAAAAGAAGAAGAAGAAAGAAACCCTACGAAAAACGCATCGACGAGAGCAGAAACCCACTCACCACCAGTTAATGGGAGGAGCAGTTGGCGGGCCGCAGGAGCTCTGGCTGATGATGCTCTGAGGAAGGCCAGGCCAGAGGCGAGCAGGGCACCCAGAGGCGAGAAGGGGCTCTGCGTGGGTGTGGGAGGCAGGTGCAGGGAGGGGGCAGGGCGCGGGGCGGGAGCGCGGCCAGGTGAGGGTGGCGGGGCGCTGAGGGGCTGCGGGCAGGGACCAAGGAAGGGGGGGGGGGGGGGGCCGCGTCGTCCCCGCGCCTGTACACACTCACCAGCGCCGGCTGGCTCCCTTCTCGCCGCCGTCGCGCTCGCGGCCGCCAGCGACTCCTTCGGCTCCTCCTCCCTCTCCTCCTCCTCCTCCTCCTCCAGTACCTCCGCCGCCAAGGCAGTGCCGCGCTCCTTTTCCGCTTCCGGGAACCCGAGCGCCAGACCCGCACGGTGAGCAGCCGCCGGGTCGCGGAGTGACCGGCTGCCGCCGGCGCCGTCCCGCTTCGCGCCCTACAGCCACGATGGGAGCCGCCGAGGGCCGAAAGACCAGAAGTCGCGGCGCTGGCGGGAGGAGACGCGCCCAGACCTAAGCTGGCCCGAGGCCGGCCGGACCTCTTATCACCTGAACACTCGTACCTGAAGCACCTGGGCGCCTCTGCCCACCCCCTCCCATGCCGCCCTCCCAGCTCTGCCCGGGCCGACCTTCTCTTTGTCCCCACACCCTGACCGTCTCCCTCTCCCGCGAGACAGGATAGGAGCCTTACTTTAAGGATTGCACTTACCCTCTTTAAGGGAAGATGCTCAACCGGCCTCTTTCGTTCCGAATGTCCTGTGGTATCTTACATCAAAGTGCAGTCCGCAGCCTCGGCATCCTGTGGGAACTTGTTAGTAGTGCCGTCTTAGGCCTGCCGAATCAGTATCAGCATTTAACGCTGTCTCCAGGTCATTACTACCTGTGCACCTTAACGATTGAAAAGCACTGGACTCTAGCTAATGGTCTTGCCCGCTTCAGACCCTCTGTGTGACAAAAGCCAATGTTGCCCCAGCCAGCCAGATTGTTCCTATTCTCAGCAACCTAAACTCACACCCCAACAAGTTTTACTTGGAAATTTCAGGAGACATCCAAAGAAGTTGCCATCTTTCCCATCCTGCAACCAAGGAAAATATAAATGGACCCAATCTCCCAGTCTAAATCGATATCTTATCAAACACCAGTGTGACACTAACACCTCCTATCTCCTCCCTCACCTCAACTGAATAGTACTTAGGGAAGGTTAAACTGTTTGCAATAATCTGGAGGTAAATCTTTGTGCCTGCATGCCACAGGAGGTAATGTGTGGATGGAAGAGATATTGTCTGCTGCATAAAAATCTGAACTCCTTAAAGGATATTATTGAAAGCCCTTCACCAAGTGGTCCCTACCTCCCTCTCCAGTTTTAGCTCTAACTACTAACTTGGTTCATTTTCCCATCCAGAATGCCGTCCATCTTCTGCTCGGATGATCTTAATTCTGTCTAAACTTGAGAGTTACCTGAAATCCTGCCAGCCCCAGAGTTCATTCGCATCCCTGCACTTAATACACATTACATTGTAGCTTAATTTGGGCCCTTATGTTATGTTGTATTGTTAAGTATTGTTCAATGTGTTATGTCCTAGTTTCTGAATTGATTAAAAACACTTTAGGACCTTAGAGATCTAGTCAGTGGTTATCAAAGTGTTGTCCCACCCTACCAACATAAACATCACCTGGTAACATGTGAGAAGTTTCTTATTCTCCAGCTCCACCCTGGATCTACTGTATTAGAAACCTGAGGGGTGAATCCCAACTATCTATGTTTTAACAAAGCTTCCAAGAGATTCTAATGTACACTCAAGTTGTAGAATTACTAACCTAGTATATCGTCTCTACCTCCAAAAGAACTCAATGGTTGGCATCGGTTTGTCTATATACAAGTTTTATTGCCTTTCAGATTAAGAAATAAACTGCTCAATTCATGCATAGCTAGTTGGAAGGCTGTGACAATTACTTTTGAGAGAACTATCTTGGCTTTTCATAATGCATTTTATGTAGTAGGACGTTTGTAACTTAGTTTGTTTGAAAAGAAAGAAATAATACAAACAACTAGCCACTTTAGGGGAAGAGGAAATATGTTGAATTTTACCTACCATAGTCAGGTAACTGAGTTACAAAATGTTGCTCTCTTAACATATCCTTGTTGTACATAGTAATTTTGTGGCAAATAATCTCAACAGATGCCAAAAGAATTAGTGGGCAGGCACATGAACACACATAACAAGTGAAAGTGCACATATTTTTCATGCTTTTTTTCCATATGTTAATTTGTTTCTTTTCAGCCAAATCAATACCACAGAGAATTTTCTTCAAAAGGCATGGAAAGAGAGAAGTAGCAGGAAAAACATTCTGAAAATCATGAGCCTTTTTAGCATGGGAAGTTAAGAAGTATTATCAAGGACCTATCTATATCTATTCTTTATACTAAAGGTCAAGTCATCAAGTTCTATCATTCACGATAAACATGACTATTTGTACTGCAACCCATATACTTAGGGAGAAAGGGTGTCATGTAATCTTTTGGGGAGTTTTTCTATTTACTATAAGGAAGGAGAGAAGATATATGTCATGCACTATTTTTCCCCTCTACAAATGTCTACTTCATGGTGCCTGTGACTGATGGAAGCATGATTATTAATCAAACTAATACTTATCTGAGAACTGAAAAAAATAGACAAAGACAAGTACATGGCTACCACAGCCAACTTGGCTTGTCAACAAAGGCACAGGCAGGGCATTTATGTGGACAAACTCAGCCAACTCCTGTGCTTTTGTGCCATGACTGGGAAGGACTGGATTTTACTGCAATTTCCAAAAGTGAGTGCAAGTGCAGTCCAGAGTTTAATCAGTACTGGCTAATAGCCCTTGGCAGCTTTGGGTGGATGGTGTTCTCCACCTGCCCATCTGGGTATCATGCCCTAAGCACCCACATTTGATGCACATCCATGATATCTTGGTTGCTTATAGTCGTCTCCCTCATCTGTTTGAGTGGCAGAGTGCCCATTCCACAATAGTCTAATATTCTAATAGTTGTTTTTAACCTCTTTTGGATTACACTTCTTTTAGCATCTGAGGAAAGTGTGGGCCCTCTTCTTAACAGAGTATATACACACACGATTATGTAAATTTGTACATACATATTTATAGATGAAGTTTCACAAAGTGCTCCATCTTCACACATCTCCAGAGGACCACAATGAAGTCATGAATGGCAGCTTAAGAACCTGCCCTAGGACAGAGAGAGTAGATAAACTTTTTTTTCAAACATCAAGGATAACTCTTTCAAAAACAAAACAAAACTGTGTGCTTGGGAGAGAGAACAAAAGCAATGATAAACAGAGTTACAAAGTGCTGTGGGAGTCCAAAGAAGCAGGGTGATTCAGGAGCGGCTCTCTGCAGAAAAGTTCTTGCAGAAAAGTTCTACGTCAGGCAAGTGATAATGGGATTCTGATAAGGTCAAAGGATCCCTCCTGGATGAGGGAAAGTGTAAACAAAGGCCTGGAGACAGGAAAGTACAAAGGTCCATCTAGTGTGGTTCAAATGCAAATTATATGGAAAAGTAGAGAGGGGAATGAGAAGGTAAAACAGAAACAAACCATGATGAGGTTCAAACACAATGCTATTTTCAATGAGGAGCCATTAAGTTTTTGGAGGAGGGTAATCTAATCTGAAAAGACTATGAGCGAGGGCAGTGGCACCATTAAAAAGCACAGTGGCGGGCCTTTGGAAAAGTAATTAATATCCTAATTGGAACCTGTTAGTGAAGCCACAGGGCTTTACCTCAGCTTTTTAAGGTTGCTTGATATTTGCTCTAGAGATTTAAAAAAATTCATTTTTAGAGGGAGGGGAAGGGATAGAGGAGGAGAGTGAAAGAAACATTAATGTGTGAAAGAATATCGATCGGTTGCCTCTCGCAAGTGCCCCAGCTCGGGGACTGGGCCCACCATCCAGGCACATGCCCTGACTGGGAGTCAAACTGGTACCATTCTGCTTTGTGGGAGGACGTTCAACCAACTGAGCCATGCCAGTCAGGGCTCTAGAGATTTCTATTAACTTAAATAAAAATGAGCCTGAGATTCTTACAGTTGGTTAAGTACCAGTGGTAAAATGAAGTCTGGTAAATGATCAGGTGAGTTTAGAGTCCAGGATCCTAAAGAGTTAGAATCTGTTTGGAGTGGGAAGAATGACAATCAGCTTGGATTAAAAAGAGAAAAGAAGCCCTGCCATTAATTTGGGGCTGGGAGAATGAGCACAGATAGAGCCAGCTGCAAAGTTAATAGGAAACACTGTTTTCTGCCAAGGTCATGCAGTAGTTACATAAGACATTAACATAATGTCCCTCTCTTTGGCTGATTACTGACCAATGATGGCCTAGACCACTTGCTATTTTCATGTATTCCTAGGGAATCTCAATTTCTCAGCCTTCACCTCATGACAGCACCCAATTCCTAGTTAATTACCTCTTCTTAAATCCCACCCCCAAACAGCTAATCCAAACCTGATCTCTCCTTCCCTTAGATTATCTTCAAAATCCTTCAATGGGACCCCAAATTACAAAAGATGCCTTTTCCTCCTACTTTGCTAGTGGCTCGCCTTCAAAGAGGCTTCCCTGTTTGCAAGGCAATAAATTTTATGTTGTCAGGCTACAGGCTTGTTCCTGGTATTCCTTGACAGAAGGATCTTGTTTCTTTACCGGGAACACACCTGTAGCCTGGTTGTTAAGTTTTAACAACTCATCTGATAATGAAAGCCACCCATAGTCAGGATTCCCGGCCAAGGCTCTTCGGGAAAGAGGTCTCCCTTTCTGTGTCAATGGCACAGTGAAGTAGCTGCCATTCTCAGCCATGAGACTCGGCAGCTTCACTCTTCCAAAATGGGAGGAAGTGATGCTTTGGGGAGGTCACCCTACTCCCTCATCTTTTGGAGAAATTTGGATCAAATTATAAGAGAGTGTTTTTAAAAACTATTTTTGTAGCAACTTTATGGCATAAATATCTTTCAAAAAAAACTATATAACCAAAGACATATAACTTAAAGAGCAATATTTGACCCTTTGAGAGAAAAGTATAATTCTTTTATGTTCTATTCAGAACTCACTGACCTATTAAAGTTCAAAAATCATACATGTATAAATTTATCATAATGGTTTCTCACCACTTAAATACTGTGATGATATTTACATTTAAAACGTATTACTAAATGTGAAGTAAAATTCTTCCATGAAACAGAAATTTCCAGTTATAATATCAAAATGTCTTGTAGAAACTGCCCATGA